GAAGAACAGTTTCAAGCACGATGGAACGTGCTGGTAACCGCCTCCTTGGCCGCGGCAGTCCACACTGCCGCGCCAATAGCCGCTGTAATGTCGACTGCCGCGGCAATGTCGACTGTCGCGGCCAAAGAACAGTCATCTGGTCGGTTACTTCGCCCCCATTTTAACTGTTGTGCACTCCTATCCCTATAAATACCTCCCTAGACACGAAATAAAGGACAGAGAGCATTTTGGAGCAAGAGAGAGAGTCTTCCTTCTTTACAAACATTTTCAAGAAGCTTTTGGCGATTCCTAGAGATCTAAGCTCTGACTTGATCTTTAGAAGAGTGAACATCTTACATCGATAAGATATTCGCTTTAAATTCTTACTTCGATAAACGAAGGAAGAATCCCCAAAACCTTCACGATTCAATCAGAATCTGTGAATCGGTGGTCCACGGACTAACGCACCCTCGGCACAGGCAAAGATCCCACGCAAGCAGCGATCCAAACAACGATCCTGCGTTTGTTTCTAAGGAGCTTGTAATTTGATTTTTGTTGTAAAGAGTAGTTTTACAAAGTACGAAACTCACTCTTTTGCATTCATTGTAATCGATAAACAGTTATAATGAATTCTACAACAGAACTTGTTCCTGACGCAAACAAAGTTGAAATTGTATAATTTGTTTGACTATGACATTTATGCATTATTATATAATTACAAAATTTTTTATACTCAATTGCTGCGAAGTCGCCTCAAGTTTTGATAATTTGTCACATACTCATTTATTAATTATACATTTCTATCGTTAAGGGGCTGTTTGGTTCGTTTCCTTGATATAGAGAAATGTAATTCCATGTAAAGAAACACAAGTTTTGAGTTTTTCAAATTTTTCCAAGAAATAGATTGTTTTGCTTTGGTTCGCACATAAAAAATGGTGGGAAACCAATGTATTTATTTTTCTTGTGTTTGGTTCGCATAGAAAAAAAAGAAAAACTTTTGTAAACAAAACAGAGAAGGAAAAAAAATCTGACGTGACAGAGTTTTCATCAATTTCACTTGGTTGGGGAAGAAAATCGGAGAGGGAAAAAAATCTTAGTTGGCGACGATTTTAGTAGAGTTTTCTCTCTTCCATCCGAGCGAACCAAAGCGGCACAAAGAAATGGACGGAAACAAAAAAACTGAAACCAAAGCGGCACAAAGAAATGGACGGAAACAAAAAAACTGACGTGGAGGGCTAAAAATCTGACGTGGAGGGGTTTTCTGAGTTTTCCACCCCTTATAATAGCGAACCAAACAGCCCCTAAGTCTCGTGATTTTTCTCAGGGCACGTTTGGGCTTTATTTATAGCAGGGAAAGTTAAAAAAAAAGGAAAGAGAAGTAAATTCTATAGAGTTTCTTTCTTATCACCACCCTAATTTGCAAGTGAAGTAAATTCTATATTATCAGGGGTGAACCTAGGAAACTAAGGTGAACATTCCACCCCTTAGGTTCTGCTTGTATTGAGGAAAATAAGAGTGACAATTCACCTCATTCGGATAGTTTTTAATGGGTGAAGTTTTCTTTCTAGTTTCTCCATATTCACACACAATAGTACTAAAGTTGTTTCTGCGCAAATTGTGGTGGAACTTAGGGTAAAGAAAATCCTTAAACTTCCCTTCTCATCTCTCTCTTATTCTTCCTTAACTTTCCCTATCCTTAATGAAATCCAAACATTGCCCTTAAAAGCTACTAGGCATCCCATCAGAACCAACCTTATAGGAATGTGGTGATTTACACCATTGATTGAATTGTCAAAATTACCAAATTAACTTTCTAACTACCCGTGAATGATATAAATCATTTTTTTTATGGGATGTTCTGATAGAATTCTTACTCCTTAAAAGCTATCGAAACATGATGAATTCTCTCCTATCTTCCCTACTTCCCTATTGCCAACCACAAAACAATGTCTTAGAGGTTTTTGCATGTATACCCCTAAAATATTTTATATTTACAAATTTAGCCGTCAAAGCTTGGTATTTGCAAAACTTCCCATTTATTCACTTGTATTGAGTTTTTCTACCCTCCTACTTAACAATATTAGTTTTCAAACAAAAAAAATGGTAAACCTATTGGAAATTAATGAATTTTTTTGACATTGCCCTGTTTAGGAACCAATACTATTAACTTGGAGGGGTAGATAAATCTAACGCGAGAGAATTAGGGTATAATTTTGCAAATACCAGGATTTAAAGAGTAAAATTGAAAATATAGAAAATATGAGGGTTATATATATGCAAAAACGACTTCTTTTTTAAAAACAAATTAAGTGCTACTCAAGTGCAAGTTAGAGCATGTTTAGCAATTTAGTCAAAATAGAGTATAGTCCATTTTCATGTCTGCTAATCACTTTTTGACAGGATTATTGTGGATTACAATCCACCAAAAGAATAACCTAACAACTGGATTAATTTTTTAGAGCATTAATATAACCCACATGTTTGATCAAGTAAATGACCCAAAGTTCACATTCGTTTGTGTTTTTTTTTCCTTCTACCTCCTACTTCCCGGGGGGGGGGGGGGTCATCTTAATAAAAAAACTCATGAATTATAAACAGTGGCGGAGCTTGAAAAAATATTTGGGGGGCGAAGTTACATAATAATCATAAATACTTAATTCATTCAAAATAATCACCAATTCAATGTTATATAAACATCTAAAACTTTGCATGCCGAGTTTTCATCTTCTTAAAATAATCAATCACAGAATCAGTATCAATTTCTTGAACAATCTCTTTCTCGATATACATAACTAAATTATCTGCTAAGAATGCGTCTTCCATCTTGTTGCGGAGCCTTGTTTTTACAATTTTCATGGCAGAAAATGCTCGCTTGTGGTAGTAGCTGTAGACACCGGAAGAGTTAGAACAAGGCGAATTAAGCGTCAACAAGAAAATATTCACTTTTCTTTTCAGTTTCAGCCAGTGCCACACATAACTCGGAAATAATTGAAAGACTTCTCATTTTGGATCATTGCGGGCGTCGAGGACAAAAATGTTCCAGTTGAAACTTCAAAATGAGCTTATCTTGACCATCAAAATCAGCAGGATAATATTTGTCAACAAGCCGATCGCCCCCCAAATATATATAATACATCAAAAAAATTTTGAAACGAAGGGGGGGCGATCGCCCCCCCCCCCAAAGAACAACTAAGCTCCGCCACTGATTATAAACCACTCTCTATACCAGACGCTTAAATTTTTGACCCATTTGGATTATATTAATCTATCTGTTTATTATGTCAATTTGACTATGATCTAGAACTGTCAAACATACCCTTAACTTTCTCAACTTTCCTTCCTTCAGCCACTTTTCTTATTCTTTATCTATATTATAAACTTCTTTCTTCCATGATTCAACCAAAGAATACTCTTCCTGCAAAGGCCAAAGCAGTACCAAGCGTTTCCTGACCAAGACACGAGCTATGGGATACTCTTCTCGCTCCTCCTTTATTATTGATTTAGATATTATTATTCTATAATACCTAAAAATACTAAAGAGACCAAGAGATCGTTATATATTCTCAGAAAAATGATTAAAGGACCTAAAATATAGGACCAAGAGAGGAGACAGATGATGTGTCCCCTCCCTATTGCATAATGAGTTGGCCATATGTTCCCTTCCTATTGCATAATGAGTTGGCATGGCCAACTCATTATGCAATAGGGAGGGGACACATCACCTGTCCTCTTCCTTGGTCCCATATTCTGGGTTCCCGTAGCAGCACTAATATTCTCATTCCAATCACTACTCGTTTGATTGACGCATGGCTCCAATTTGTCATCATAAAATATAAAATGGACGGGGGTATAATAAAGTACCGTCGCATTT